GGTCCTACTTGCTTTTCTGAATTTGAAAGGAATCCAGACTGCATGGCCTGAAACAAAGATCCTCAGAAAAAGGCCTTTTGAAAGGGTGAAACAATGGCTTTTGTATGAGCTGGACATTCATGGAACAGGCTTCCTCTGGACACCATTTCTGAAATAGTTCATTGTAGCTTCACGGCCCGAGGAGAAAGATCTTTGGAGGGCAATGAAAAGTCATAGAAACAGTCAAAAGACAGGTTTTCTTTGAAGAGTAAAACGAAAACCCAGACTTGCTTTAAATAAAGTAATGGAATAACAGTGTTCCAGAAAAGAATTTTTTTTGCCATGGATCTCCAGGGATATCGAGTTAACCTCTTCTCACCCAAACACAAAGCAATTGTTAGGGCTGTTGGTCAACAAGTGTGAATAAGCACATGATCTGTTCTATGGCTGCTGGAAAAGTGCAGAAGCAAGAACAGCTGGGGTGTGCCTCCACTCCCTTTGTTCCAAAATATTTTGAAGGGCTGTTTTTGGACTTAATGAAATGGTGAAACAAAGATGTGTATAAGTGCAACACATACAGGGGAAGAACATAGACACCTTTTAACTTCTCAGGTAAACTTATATTGCCATGCCTGCTCTTTCCTTGGGGTAGGTAACCTGTGGAAGAAAACCTACATTGGACCAAAAGCTCTACAAACATGCAAAGTGCATGTTTCTTAAAGATGCCCTCTTGTCTTTTGATTTTTTTTTGAAGTAGGGAGAGCTGTGAGTTAGCTAATACTGTCACTGGAAACCAAGGTCAAAATGTGAAAGAGAGAAAGATATCAAAGAAAGACAGGGATAAAAATCAACCCATTTGTAGGAGAGCCTTTCAGGTACTGCAGACAGCCAGAAAGAGAAAAGAATTCAAGCCTAAACTCTCTCTCGTTTTTTTCATTACAAAATATTTGTATAGTGGTGCGATGATTAACAGGATACAGACAATATTGTGCCCACATTGCCAGTAGAAAAAGGGATGCTGTCCTTTACATAGCAAAGGACAGCGTGAACGTTGACAACATTGATGGCAGCAGTAAAGATGGTCTACAGGATACCCTTACGTGCTCACTGTTGCCAATTGTTTTGTGACTGAGAAGTGATTAACTGATGAAAAAAGGAGTCAGCTTCAGGGATTTTCACTTCTTTGGTGTCACTTTTTGAATGTTAGTGAATGCAAGAGGGTATCCTGTAGACCATTTTGATGATATTGTGGAGCATGAAGACAGAAGCACAATATCTCACATTCATAAGCTTTTTTAACAGAATTGAATTGTTCAATAGCAGAGACAAATTATTCATTGATTTATTAGCATAAACTTCATCACAGAAGCCTTGTGCCATGAGAGGAGAAGGAAAAGGAAACTAAAAAAAATGGGAAATAGTTTTCAGTTCAATTGCATGGTTGAAGAACCTGTTGATGCTTGAAATCACATTGTAATTGATTAAAATTGTTTCCAGTCATATGACTAATAACTATGGCATAATCTGACATGAAGATACAGCCACTCTCAATGAGACCTGACTTGAAAAAGAAGAGGTTTAGTAGAAAATGTCAAACTCATTCTCCACCTCAATCTTACACCTTTTATTATGATACTATATTTAAAATAAGCAACATGCATGCCATTTCAGACTAGACTAAAATAAAACAATATACTTTGCTTTCATTCATGAAAGATTTTGTGGAATGCCACAGGTAGGTAAACTGATAGAAAACTGTAGGACTACAGTTAATAATTGTTGATACTGATAAGAACCAGAGTCAAAAGAAAACTACTCATATAGACCTAATTCCATGATCCACAGTGGCTTTTTCCTGTCTATAAACAGCACTTTTTCTGAAATGACTAATGTCATATTGACATTAATGGTAGTAACTATAATTATCATAATTATAATGGATAATTATGATGATAATTCTACAGCGCTTAAGGTATCCCAGGGCCCCCACAGGTAGCCTTTATTTGTTTGTTTGTTTGTTTGTTTGTTTAATTTGATTTATATCCCACCCATCTGGTATATTCTACCACTCTTTATGGCATACATAATAAATTTTAAGAAACTATTCTCATTCACTGCAACTAAAGAAGCCTTAAAGTAGATTGCTGAATGTTTCTTACTGTCTTAAGATGCAATCAAACAGAGAAATAGGACTGCATTAGATTGCACCAAAAAGAGTCACTTCCTGGGTTGTAGTCTTATTTAAAGTGTCCCTTTCATGTATACACAATCCAGTCCCCATCACTCCAACCCAGTTCCAGCAAAATAGCGCACCCAAAATAGCCCTGCTGCTGAAGCTACAAAGCTATGGATGGGCATGAAACACAATTAGGCTGTTTCATTATTTCCTGTACATTGGTTGCCGGGAAATACATTAAACCATGTGTAGCGTTCTCTATTTATTAGGTCTATGGTTCATGTTATATTATGTAATGGTTTATGTTATGTAATAATCGTTCATGCCTATTAATGTTGCTGAGAGGCAGAGCCGAAAGAGATGCTATAAGAGGCGGAGCCTGAGTCAGTCAGAAGGGAGTAGAGAAATGTAAGAGTCAGTCAGTAGAGAAAAGTCAGAGAAAGTAAAAAAGTTTGTAGTTTGGGAAATTCTGAGGCGTGATTAGCTAGTGAAGATAATTATGAATTAATCTCTGTAATCAATAAACCAAAGTTTTATTTAAAAGAACTTGAAGAGTGGACCTGAATCTTTCTGAGGGAATGGTGATTTAGGGATCACCTGGTGGCAGCAGTGTTAAAGAGGAGAGTGTTAAAGAGGTGTTAAAGAGGAGTGTTTGCCTTCGTGTGCTCTGAGGCTTGAAGATCAAGCAAAAAGGGCACGAGGGTGGATGCCACACCATGCCATGCCCAAAGCAGGCCAAAATGTGAGCTAAATCACTATTTGAGCACACGTGCTTACTAGAGATGAGCAAGAATTAAGAAATGAGTTACCAAATTCATTCAAAAATAGATAATTCTTATTCATACAAATCAATGCCCTGATGAATACAAATCAATGAATTTTTAGGATTGTTGGAATTGTTAATTTGTTTGGGCTAAAAGTGCCCCCCCGGCTTCCTTTACCTCTCCACTACAGTCCCTTCACATTTGGTGAAGATTGGGTTTCCCCCAAGGGAGCTGCTAAAGAGCACTTTCCTGGGGGGATGCACTTTGTGCATGTGTAACGTGGATGTCTGAAACCTAATCTTCACCAAATGTGGGTGGATTATGGAGAATAGTCATTAGAAGCTTCTCTGTGAATTTTGTGTCTCTGGGTGCCTGGGGGGAACTTTGGGGGGGGGTCCTTGTGAATGTATAACTTGGACATGTGGAATCCAAACTTCACCAGTCTTGTAGGGCTTGTAGAGCAGAGTCAGAGGAAGCTAACCTGCAAATTCAGTGTCTCTAGGTGCTGGGGGGTGGTTATAGAGCCAAAAATTAATTGAATTGATTTGTCGATTCATCAGAAAATAAATTCATTCATGATGAATCATGAATGAAAATGAATCACAATTTTTCTGATTTGTGCCCATCTCGTGCTTACAGATTCAGATAACAAAGCTGGCAGATGAGCATTGAGAAAGAAAATAAAGGATTATAATGGACCACTGATCTAATATTGAAATAGTATGTTCTCTGTCTGATTGTCTCTCTATTTTGTATTTAGACTCTTCACACATTTATTGGAACAGATTCCATGTTTTGTTTCAAACATCTTACAATGTCTAAAGATAATAGATCCATGTTAAATTACCTTTTAGAAAAGAGAAATGAAATCTAGTACTTTAGTATATTAAGTATTGTTTTGCCTTCGCTTTTGTGAATCAGTTAAACTTGGCTTTCCATCAAATAGGATAGCTTCCCAGTGTAGCAGCTTTGCAGGGGGTGTTTCCTATACAATATGCTACCCATCACCACTTCATTACTCATTGTTACTGCTGCCATTCGACAGAAAACCCATTTCCCTTTCTCTTTTACCAGTGCCTCTTAATTAATTTATTTTTCCATGCCATCTCTGTGCACTGTACAATGTATGTATTTGATGCTTAATTAATATTAAGGGAACAGTGTATATGGTAGAGAAGGAGGAAGATACTTGAAATCAGTTGCTATAAAACTCTTCTCTTGTTCCTGCTTCTCTTGCTCTTCAGTTGTCTTCCTTTTTTTAGAAATTTGCACCTCTAAATGACAAGTGAGCAGCATAAAGCCTTCAGATCAGCTGAAAATTATGGTAATACAGTCAAGTCAGACACTTCAAAAATGATCCCCCCTCCCTGGTGAAGCTAAATTTAACTGTGACCCAGCAATGAAAATTAAGTTTGTCATGACTAACTTGCTCCATTAGTTTCAGTGGAACTTTTTTTTTTTTTTGCCTTAGACAGATTTTGTATGATTTCACTAGGAATCAAATACGTAAGCCTTATTTGTGTTGAGGCTGTGTTTTTTAAATATTTTAATTGTTAGGTTATGAATAGTTTGAGAAGTTTACTATTTTAACTAACCATTTCATTCCATAGATTTATATATTTGAGCAAATCCAAGACTATTGAGAGATCACTGTTGCTTTCAGCTGTCGAGTCCTTTAGATGAGATGCAATTGTTTATGTGATTATGCTATCCTGTTTCCTCGAAAATAAGACGTAACCTGAAAATAAGCCCTAGTATGATTTTTCAGGATGCTCGTAATATAAGCCCTACCCCCAAAATAAGTTCCAGTTGAATGAAACCCCATCCTCCACCATTGTGCAGGAAACAGAAGAAGATGGCATGACTGTATTTGAATAAATGTGGATTGTTGTATATGAAAAAAAAATCCCCTTAAAATAAGCCCTAATGTTTTTGTTGGAGCAAAAATTAATATAAGATCCTGTCTTATTTTTGCGGAAACACAGTAAGATATAAAATTTTGTAACTTCTCCAATCAAAATATTCATAAATTGAAAACATTTGGTATATATTACTACAACTGTTGGACTGTTTCTTTTTAGATCACACGGACTGGAAAAAAACTGAAATGAAAGATGATAATGAGATGGCAACTAAATTTAGGCTTTCGGTGTGTAGACTGCCTTTTTATTCATTGATCACAGAGATGGAACAGTATCAAGAGAAAGAGAAGGAGTTTTTTGATGCTGTTCATGACTTACGTTACATCACCCGTCCTAGACCACAGACAATGCCTGTACATATTCCAGGTAGCATTGACAAGAGAGTCTTTGCTAGAGCGTTTGGAACAGTAAGACTGCGCCCGTTGTGTGCCATTGATAAAGCATACTGGCAAAGTCAGAAATTGGATGTCCAGGTTAAAAAGGAGCGGGAAGCTCTGAGGATGCTCATTGCTAAAAGTGAAGTTCAAGAGTACCTTCGTCATTTACATGATGATAAGAGAGAGCATATTCAGAAGAAATATGAAGAGGAGAAGCTTATGATTGATGATACTTTGAAAGTGTGCAAGCAGGAAAGAGCTAAGTTAATTAGTGAAATGAGACAGAAGTATAGTCATTTTTTAGACAGCAAGGAGAGAAGGACCATAGAAAATGCATTCATTCAACGCTTCAGCACTCAGCATACTTCTTTGACAAGAGGTTTATTAAAACTTGATGGGTGGAGATATCACGAGGAGGTTATAAAGGAGAGAAAATATATTGTTAAAGGAATTGTTGAAGAACAGAAGCAGCGAAAAGAGATGTATAAACATTTTCATGTGGAGAGGTATGTTTGTTTTTCTTGATTACTCACTATGGGAGGTATTAACGTTATACATAAAGGTGTGGAGTTTTCAAAAATGTACCATCGTTTATTGAAGGAGAACTTCTTGAATAAATAGGAACCTTGCTATGTATATATATATATTTTAAAAAATATACTCCAACTTGCTATTTAACATCTGAGATGCATGATGTAATATTAAAAGATCAAACCACACACAGTACAGGGAACTATTTTAAAGAAAAGAACAAGGAGATAGAAGTTCCCAAGGTGACCAGTGAATGTACACCCAGTTTCTGTTTTCCAGATAAATAAATACCATAAATACCATTGAAGTGGAGGCCAGGTGAATCTCTTAGGCAGCGAATTCCACAGCCTAGGCCAGTGAGGGTGAACCTATTGCACATGTGCCACAGCTGGCACACAGAGCCCTCTCTGCAGGCACACGAGCCATAAGTTGCTGGATTGCTACCCCTGGCAGCCAAATCTGAGGAGGCAGCTACAGCTGCAGTGCTAGTGCCATGACAGGCAGCGGGCTAGGATCCGGAGCAGCTGGTGCTGACGGGGGTTGGGCATGACTGGAAGCAGATCCGGAGTGGGGTCTGTAGGTACCTCCATGCCCAGGAGTCCCCTTTTCACTGCCACTTCTGCCATCGTCACTTCCACTGCTGCCCGCTGGGTCCCCCCCCGCTCCAGTTTGGGCCCTCGGGTTCAAAAAGGTTCACCGTCACTGGCCTAGGCAGTATAATGGCAAAGGCTGGGTTCTGTGTTCCCACCCATGGAACTCGCATTTTCAGTACCCACATGTGCTGCTACCTAAGCAGCAACCACTGCTGAAAGCCTACACCAAGTTGTGGTTTCGATTTAAACCTTTCTGTTTGATTCTGCCATAATCAACTGAGGCAAGCACTCAAAGCTGCTTTTTATGCTGTTGCTTCTACTCTACCAAAACTAAGAGCTTTCTTCATGCTACACTTTTAAAAGTACAAGTGTTTTTGGTGCAACACAGTTTTCTTTGTTTACATGATACTAGTTGAACCATGTGGCATGTACTGAAAGCAATGGTATATATGAGTGTTACACTTTTAACATTGTTATCTCTTAAATAATAGGCAGATGACATTTAGCTCTCCCTCATCAGAAGTCTGTATTTATCTCCTGTAAGTTGATCAAACTGAAATATAACTGAAGATGGAGGCTTTTTTGGGTGTATAATGATCAAATCTTTTTTGAACTGTTGCCGTCTGGCAGAAGATATAGAACAATTAAGACTCGGACCACACGTTTTCTGAATAGTTTTTATCCCAGAGCTATAATTGCACTTAATAATGAGCTTAAAGACCACCAGTAGTGAATAGTTAGTTGGACTGTGTTACTTGGCCTGCGGTGTAGATGTTTGAATTTTTAGTGGGGGACTTTTAGTGGGTGGGGAGTGTTTGGGGAATTTTATGTGTGTGCATGTGTCTGGTCTCTGGGTGTTTGTGAATTTCATTGTATGGGTATACTGTGTATATACTTAGAATGACAATCAATCAATCAATCCATCAATCAATCAATCAATCAATAAATAAATATGGGTAAAGAACCAGTCTTGAATGAAGTGATACTTTCCTGAAAGACTAGACACAGATACTAGGCATGTGGATTCATTGCTGCCTGGAGATGCCTATATAGTGACAATGGCCAGGAGTGCTTTTTATCAGTCTAGGCTGGTTTCTGAATTGTGGCCTTGTGAGATCAGATAGACTTAGTATCAGTTATCCACATGTTAGTCACCTCTGTTACAGCAGTGTTGTTAATGTGGGTCTGCCATGGAAAATATTTCAGTCTGGTGGGAAAAAGAGCTGAATTTGTAGCAAGGCTCACTTTCGGCTGCAGTCAGGTTCTCTGTCAGACCTTTAAGATAAGTGCACGGGGGGAGGGGAGAACCTTGGTTCACCTGCTGCTTCCCCCCAACTTCCAGGAGGAAGCTTTCTGTTTTTTAAAAAAAATTATAAGAGGTGCAGTATGTCTGCACTAGAATCACAGCCTTTAAAAATATTCACTTCCTCATTCACAATTGCTAGAGCACCCTTTTTTAATGGGCAAGACTTTAAACAAGTGTACATCCTATGGAACACTGGAGAAAAGGAAAAAAGTAAATTTAGGTCATTTGGGTTTTCTGTTTCAACAGTTATATTGTAAAATAGGATTTGGGATTCTCAGTTTTGTGAATACTATTGCTGTGAATACTATTGCCCTGTCCTCCTCCTGAAATCATGCCATACTAAATGGGTGCTGGAGCCAAAGTCATAAATATAAACTGAATCCCCCCAGCATGTCATGAAAATGGAAGTTGATTAAACTTTCACACATGAAGTTCTGACTAAAGCCCTTCTAAGAACTGCATTGTGACTGTATCCTGCTGCTTAGAATAGCAATTTACAACTGGAGGAGGCCCACTGAATCAATGGAACTTACAGAAGTATTGACTCACCAAAACCCCACTGATGCAATGGGTCTTACATCTCAGTTGTACCCAGCCTTGGTTCCCTAGGTGTTCTTGGATCAAGTCTTCCAGACGTTTTCACCATTGTGATGAATTTCAGGAAGTTATAGCCCAAGAACATCTGGCGACTCAAGGTTGGGAACCACTGCTCTAGTTACGCCTTTCTATGCTAAGCAACAGAATTTCAGCTGTAATACACTATAGTAGTGGTTCTGAGGTGTTCCAAGACTGCAGTTCCCAGTGGTGACGGTTTCTGCAAGTTTCAGTCCAAGAACATCTGGAGTCCTAAAGTTGGCAACCACTAACTACACCTTAACTAGAGAAAGAAACCCCATTCTTTTTCTTTGCCGGCCTAGGAAGTACTTCCAGATAGTTCCACACTGTAAGTTGACAGAATAGTAATGTTTCTTGCTTTTTTTTTTTTAACATTCCGTTAGTATTTTTACTTGATTTATGATTGTCCAAAAATGGGTTTCTCTAACTACGAACTCAATTTGTGGCCTCAAAATTAGCAATAGTTCAGCTTTTGTTTTCATTCTATTAATAAAGGCTTTGCATGTCAAATTAGGCTCATTTTCATCTGAACAATCTTATTGTCTTTAAATTACGGCATTAGTGACACCCGGGCAACTCTGCATTATTCAGCAGGTTTACATCTGGCGGCCTGAAGTAAGTTAAATGATCTTCTGGAAATGTAATGTGAACTGGCATACTTCTTTTGCCATTCTCCCTTCAGTTGCTCGTTCTGTGGAGGTAAAAGAATGTGCACTAGCTAGAATTCTTTATTTGCTACTTGTGTTTTATAGAGAACAAATTAAGTTAATATCTGGTCTTGCCTACATTTGGGAAGGAAGTTAATGGAACACTGATGCATAAAAATCAACCATAGACTGCAAAGGTGAATTTAATTAACCCGAAGCTATTGTTATATATTTGCATAGAAGATTGCAATTTAATGGTGAAGCAAGTGGCAGAATAAGACATTAATTCCAGTTGTGACTGATATATTTTCTGATTCAAGATATTCCAATGCAATGTGCAGAAAAAGGAGGGGGCCATGAAAGTCAGCTTCTGCCTCTCACCTTGTGTTTGTGGTAGTCTAGATCTAACCCATTACAGTGTATGTTTTTTAAACACAGAACATTGGTATGCCTAGAAAAGTTTCACATTCTTTAAAAATTTAGTTTATTATAGTATGGCGATCGGCATAACTCAAAGCAACACAGGTCACATCTCACTTAGGTTTACATTTAGAGTTTCTGTATCAGCATCTCCACTTAAACTGTACTGTAGTTATTTGTGTGTTACGTACACCCATTAGAAGCAATGGAAAACTGAGAAGTCTTCTTGCTCCTGTTTCAGGCAACAGATGCTACAAAGACAAAACACAGATGAGAAATTGTTGAGGAAATGTGTGGCTCGAGAAAAGGCAAGAGAGAGATTCCAGCAATCCAAGGCAAAAGTGGAAGCTGTGAAGCAGCCCAGAAGGAGAATATCTTACGCATTGCCTGTGATTGGCAGTTCAGGCACTGCCAAGCCAGTAGAAAAGTATGATAGTATAGCATAGCAGGGGAAGGTACATAAGCCCAGTTGTACTGTATTAATTTAGTGCTCTGAATAAGATTGTTACGGTCCCATAAATGGATGATCTGCTTATCCACTTCTGTTTGTACTGGTTTTGAAACATAACCCCCCCCCCAAAAAAAGAATCTGATAAGTGGATATAATATGTAATTAAAAATATTGTAGCATTTCCACATGAAGAAAACACAGCTGTAGTCTGTTGCACTAATTGTTAGCAAATGTTGATTTCTAAGCAGCAAACATTTTAAGCATACATGTGATTACCTCTGCACTTAGCTTTAAAATTAAATTATTCAGTGCCGCATAAAAATAATTGGAAAAGAATTCACAAGTTACTAATGTAGTGAAGTACAATAAGTACAGTTGAACATGTTGACTACGCTCACTGCAGGCAGGATGGCTGGAGATTTGCCTCAGTGATTCCTCGGTAACTATGTAGGACAGTGCCCTAAGCCATTAGCTTTCACTAGACTGTATTTTCTGTTGCACTCTGGCTATGCCTAATGCAATAATTTGGTCCCAGCTGCTAACTTTCATTAACACGCTGTGTACTTTGATTAGTTTCATTAGTTGCTTCCCTATGTGTAATTAATTATGCTTCTAGTTGATTCTATTTTAATTCTTTGTATATATATTTGCTCCATGTTTGTAGTGCAAGGGAAAAGGAAGAGACCCAAGCTGTTGTTAGGAGAGTCGTGAGGTCTTTCCTCATTCTTCCAGTAACAAAATTCGTCCTTTTACATAGTCTCTTCACTTGTTTTATACACGTCTTTACATTTTGTGTTGAATCCACCTTTTATAGTCGATGCACGACATTGAATATAAGATAAGATCTTTGGTTTCTTCTCAATGATCTTTTTGGTTTCTTCTCATGATGGAGGCAGATAGTGACTTTTTAGAGAGCTGGGGCCATGTGCAATTGTGTGATTGTCCAGTTGGGACTGGAAATCTGGGAATTAATTGAGCAGGATTAATTCTTTTTCTTTGCTGGGATTCTAGAGTGAAACAAGGACTACACCTAATAAATGTATTGTTAAGGGGGAAATCATTTTCTCTACTGTATTTTCTCTGTAGTCTGTTGCCTAAACATGTTTGTCTTTGTTTCATTCTCTAACCATCTACAGTCGTACAAAATTTATACTGACTGGAACCCATTAGTTGCTGCAGTTTGTGTCAGATTTATGCACATTTCATTTCAAATTTATAAGTCTACTGAACCAACTCTCACTCTTCCAGCATTTTAATATTTTTGCCCAAACTTTCTTGCTGTCATTTTTATTTTTGTGTGTGTTCTCGTGTTTCCTTTTTATGTTTCTAACTCTATCAACTTCATTTATTCGTCTCTTCTGCACCTCCAGAAAGATATACACCCTGCACTGTTTTCAGATGATGTCTCTTTTCCATTTCTTAAATCTTGAGGTGGGGGAACTCTTAATTATCAACTGTCAGCTTGACTCACATGGGCTGTAGTACTTAAGGAGTGGAATGTGAAGTTATTTCAACTGACTCCTAGCCATACATAATGATGCACTGTTCACATTCCACTTGACATAATTCCCTCCCCAACTGGCCTTCTGCCTCAGTTTACTCCTCATTGGGATAGTTTGCTCTTAAAACTTGCCAACTTCAAATGTAAATCCTGGCATTTTCTCCTGCTGGGGGAAGAAAATGTTTCAAAAGTATATCAAAACAAGGATGAAGATTTTCCTGTAAATTTAAGGAAGGAGATGTATGCTAATTATAGAGAAATAGCAGGAGATGCTACCTCCTTATTACAGAGTTGAACTCGGATTTAGTCAGAACAGACCTATTAAAATAAATAGGGCTTAAGTTTCTCATGACTAATTTGGTTTGATTTGGGCTGCTCTAAGTGTGCCTAGGTTCAAATCTAAACCAAAGTGGCCACTTGGACTACTTGGACACAAAATAACATTCACACTCTTTCATTTTCCATAAACTTTACTAGGGCGAAGGACAAAAAACTTGAATGAGCTTGTAAACAAATTACTTATGTGTTCATCTTGTGACTTGAGGAAGCCCTGCAGGGGTGGAGCCCCAGAAATGATCACAGTGTTTTTCCCTTGTGATGCTTTGGGAAAAAGAACAAAGCCGGGTTTGAGGAAAGTAATGCTAATAAAGTAAAGTGATGTATGTAAAAGTAACTAAAAAACTTATAAGGGCAGCAGAAAGAATGGAAGGGCAAATTAGATGTTCTACACTTAACAGAAAAAGGAGCCTGCAGGTTACACTCTGAGTATTATCACAGACTTTGAGATTTATATGGCAATCAGATGTACCTGAAACAGTAAGATCCTCTTGTTACTGAGCTTTGCTTGTCATCAAAGAAAACCAACATAGGCTTTAACTTTGGATCTTTCAACATTGTTTTACATGTCCAAAGCAAAGAATACTCTCTTTTATTTGAAAGGTCCAGTCACTTGTTTACACAGGCTGCAATTACATCAGCAATGTGCCTGCTCTCATTCTAAGTACCTGGACAGTTTTCAAAATGGAACCCTTACTGACCTAAAAGGACAGTCATGCAAGTCATTCTTACTCCACACATTCCCTTTGCTTCCACAACTAGGACAAAAATGTGTACAAAAATGAGTACTCATTCAGAAATACAGGTCCCATTTCTTCCAACATGCATTTGAAAGGCTTAGCTTGAGGCTTCTGGATCTTCTTTCCCCTTGCTCATCTTTTTGATTGCTATAGGTGTGTTTACTGCTTGATGAATGTTGTTTTAACACTTGCTTTTACTGCTGCTATTTTTGTATTCAATTTTCAGATTTTGGGAGAGGTTTGTATTGGGGTTTTTTATAATTATTGTTATGACCTACCTCAAACATAGGAACAACACAGAATATAAATAATTGTGCATTCAGTCTTCTTGCAGTTCTTCATTACAGATGCCTCCCATGTAACAGATTTTTTTTGACAGTTACCATTTTTTTCAGAAGAACATTATAGGTGTTTACATGACTACAATCAGTGGACTTGTCTAATGTAACACATGTACGTGTGATGTGATATCCAAGTGACAGTGGACAGTGGGATGGTCACCATCATCAACATGTGGATAACCTGATCATAACTCTTTTCACATCACTTGAGATTTCTTCATAGATTTCTGTTCAGCAGGACATTCTGTGCCCACCTCGTATTTTACTGTACTGAGTGGAAAGACAAGCAGAAGTTGATACAGAGTGTGTTTCTTGACTAGCTTTGACTGACTGCACTGTGTTATGTTTCAATAGGCCATCTTCTTTTTTTGGTTTGAGTCGCTGGCATTTTCAGTGTAAAGCATTTCAGCAGGACTACTGAACTAGGTGGAATAACAGGCCTATACATTGTACAAACTATCTTCATCCACTCTACCACAAGTCCATTTCACTCCATGGATAAAGGGCTGTTACTCCAGGGTCCAGTGGTCTTTTCCTGACCAAATTCAACAGTATCTCCAAGCTATTTCCTACCTCATCTATCTCGTTTTAGTTCTCTTCCTGTTCCCTTTGTATCTCTCCAAGCATCCTTCCTTAGTCTTCAGCCAGTATTTACCAAGAGCCCAACAAGCTACAGGACAAAAAGAGATAGAGAGAGCAGAGTGCTTTGGTGGCTGAGTGGAGTGTGATCTAAAATAAGAAAACTGTTGCTGGAAGAAAGGGCAACAGCACCAAAATATTCTCGAAGGAGATGCTTTTAAATTGAGAGGGGAGGGCTGGCAATCTGATCATGGATCACCCACATTGGAAGTAGTTTAGCTTTGGAAGATAACATGCAGATGAATGATTTCTTTTTGTTAAAAGAAAAGCCCCATCCCTTGCCACTTTTGCATACATTTGATAGTGCTACCATATATTCTGTTCTTGTATGTGCCATATTGAGATGGATGTTTAACATTAGCAGATGTGCCTTCATAATTCATTTATTGCTGTTTTATTGTGATGTACTCCTGCTAGTTCTTTTGACCAGATTATTCATCATTACCACTTTCTCCACATGTTTGTCATGAATAAAATAAAAACGTTATTCCCCTTTTGGATTTTCAGACAATGTTGCTTTATTGCCACGCTGTAGGAGGACAGTTCATTGTTCTCAGCTAAAATTCTGAAAGTGTGTTTTACTAAACATCTTTGTACATGCATCTTTCCTGCTTTTATCTGGCTCTTTTTCTATAGTGTTCACCTCTGGTAGCCTGTGGGATTTCTGTTCTAGTTTTTGGGAGGTTGGGAACAGCTTCTTCCTCATTTTTTTTAAACTTTGGGTGGGAAGAATAGTACATGTTGGTAAATAGTAAATGTTCTGAGTACACCTAGATAGTATAAAGAAATGTATTAAGGTATGAGAAACGAGGAAGCTACAAAAGTGGTTTTGAAAGAAATTCTTAAGAGGGCCAAACCAAGATGATTTGCTTCCTGAGCTGAATAAGGTGGCACACATGCACAAATGTCCATTGCAGTAAACTAAACTACCAGTTGAATTTTGCATCAGCACTGGCAGTGGGACATGTCCTGCATAACACCTGAGGGCAGTGAGCAACAGACAGCTGTGTGGCATATGCAGCTGTGTCTTCCAACAAAAGGAAATGACTAGGCAATTCAGGTTGAATGGCAAAGCAGCTGCTGCCCTTCCCCATCACCTTCCCCACTCACTCTGCCTATTGGCAGGGCTAGACTTGCTTATTAATGTCTAAACATTTTACATTGAATAATTTTCACCATTTAAAAACAACTATGTATTGTAATATTATAAGACATTTTGAGTCCTTTTTAGAAAAAGCTACCTAGTAAAATAAAATGATGATGATGATTTAACAAGAGAAAATGTTTTATAAAGAGATATTTAAGCAGCCCTGCTTGCTGTCTTCTAAATAACCTCTGTGGCCTGACTGTCGATTACTGTCAGCCATCCATGTTGGCAGCAGTTGACAGTCAAGAGCTAGTTACATGGATGGAACCAATTGAGGAGTCCCCTGCCTCTTGACAGCTTCAGGTAAGAACAGATATGCCTAGTCCATCACATCTGTTGCTTCTGTTAATCACTTATCGTTCTGTATCCCCTGTGAACATAATGTAAATTTTCTAAATTTCCAACCTTAAAAATAAATCTCTGGCACAAATTGGACCAATGTAGTCAAAAGCCAGATTTTATTCCATGTGACGTACTTTGTACTGTTGTGAAATATTCTCCCTCATACAGAAAGCAGTAATGAACCGTTTCATTTTGACATCTGTCTTTCAAAATTTTCTCCTTCAATCTAGCAATTTAGAGTCTCTTCCACAGCTTGTTATTAAACATGTTTTTTAAAAGATTCAAAAACGGCTTTTGTGAACAAGTTTCGTCTCTTATTTCAAATGGACTTTATTTCTGTCTGAAAACCAAGCTTGTGGATGTGAAATGTGGCCACAGTTGAAAGGTTTCTGAAACTTGAGGGTAGAGAATTAATATTCTATGTATCAAATGGAGAAGGAAGTGTTGAGGTGTAGTATGGAAGGCAGTCAAAGATACTTATATGACAGCAACTCCAATAAAATGTGATATTGTGCAAAAATGCACCAAATCATCATCTATAATTATGTCAAGCAGAAGCAACACAAATATTAATAACAGCCGATTATAAGAACAGTTGTAGTTGATCAGACCAAAGACCTAAGCAAAACAGCATTCTGATCTGAGAATGGCCAGCCATATGCTTTTCAGAAGCTCACAGGCAAAACATAAATGTAATAGTGCTTTCTTGCTCATGTTCCCAATGACAGCTACTTGAAGAATAATATCTCTGTTTCTGGAGATAATATATCACCTTCCTGACTGTGATAGCATTATCTTTCTTGGATTCACCTGATCTTCTTCAAAAACTGTTGAAGGTGATGGGCATTACCGCCATATTGTCATAGCAAGTTCTGCAGCAAAACTATGTACTATATGAAAAAGTGTTTCCTTTTATCTGTCCTGAATCTTCTACTTTGCACTTTTTTTTTCATATCTGAACTGCCAGTTCTAATAGCCTAAGGGAGGACAAAAATCTTCTCTCTTGCCCTGGCATGCTGGCTGGATAGCTCAGTGGTTTAGGTATCTGGCTGCAGAGCCAGAGGATGGAAGTTTGATTCCCCACTGTACTTCCTTTGAATAGAGCCACCGTGTATGGCCGTGCGCAATTGCACAGGCCTAGAGCACCTCCAGAAGAAGGAAATGGTAAGCTTTTCTCCAGAGGATGGGAGTTTGATTCCCCACTGCCATAAATCAGAATTGACTTAAGAACACATGACTATTGTTATATTATCCTGGCATGCCCCCAGCTGTAAAAGTCCATATTGAAGGAAATGGTAAGCTTTTCTGAAAAGGGTTGCCATAAATCCGAATTGACTTAAGAACACATGATTATTGTTATATAATCTTGGCATGCCCCCAGCTGTAAAAGCCCATATTGATAAAGATCTAGCGCTCTCACCATGCAGCCTACCTCTGAAACCAGTACTTCAGATGATGGGAGTTCAGAACTATCACCCATAAGAATTCAAGCTCCTGGCAGCTCCTGAAGAGGAAGCACAAAACTGTCTTTGAAAGAAGTATTAGCTGCGCAAAGGTTGTTCAGTGGCTCCTTGTGAGCATAATGTTTCTTAAGACTTTAAGCTGCTGCAGCTGGACCCTAGGTGGGCCTAGCAACTCCTAAATAAAAGCTTTTTGCAGATTCTTGAGAAAAAGCTGAAGATGACAGGTTCATATCTGTTGGTTTTTGCATCCCTGAAATATCTGAATCCTTCTCTGCTACCCTTTGACCCTGGATTTTATGTGACTTGTGACATGTTTTGTGCTTGTCCTATGGACCTAACTGGTAAGAATGTATCTGTTTCAACCTTGACTTTCCCCCCTGCCCCCAGACTTGATTGTGTGTTTTCCTCATCTTAATTCTTTTATTTGCTCTGTGTATTGCTTGCCCAACTTGGCCATGGGCTGACAGACCTCATTGCTGTAAGTTTCCTGCCTGAGGTCAAGGCATGCCCACATGCCTAGACTATCCATAAAAGTGTACAGTTCTCGCACATCCCCTTTTATTCACCTATCCACAAAACCAAGTCTTCTTTGGATAACAGACTTAAAACCATGATGGCTGATGAGTATCAGAGTGCCTGTGTAAGCCCATGCAATCCCTATTTTCATGTTCACATCCCATTAGGAAATCCCTGGGAACTTTGTGTTACAAGTTCTCCAAGATCTTGTTGACTTCCAAGCATGAGAGTTAAACTTAGATGCATCCTCACATCTGTAACAACAGTGCACCCCTCCATGGCTTTGGACATCAGCAATCCCAAATGCCACACCTTTGTTCTTATAAACGGATTGGATATTCATAATTCTAGGACTTCCAGTCCTAGAAGTCACAGAACTTGGAGAAGAGAAACCAGAAGGCAAAAGAGATGTCTTCCTACTTCCATAGTCTGCTTCATTTCATGTTGTTCAGAAGGACAGAAGAAAGGAACACATCATAGTCACACTGCTTCATTGGAGTCATCTCTCTGTTCCATGGGACAGTAATTCAGTGAGGGCTTGATCACATGTGCCAAAAGAACAATAGTTGTATTGATTATCTCATTTAAACCGCTGTATAAATTTCTGTTCACACAACATATACGTAGCATCAATTCATTTGGCCAGCCAATTGGGGTTTTTTCCCCCCATATTGCTGGCATGGCCTTTTAAAATTGTAGCATCAATTCATTTGGCCAGCCAATTGGTGTTTTTTTTCCATATTGCTGGCATGGCCTTTTAAAAATGATCACTTCAATCCTTATCGTTTCAATCACTTCAATCCTTATTGTTTCAGCATGTGTGAACCTTGTTGATTACTTTTGTGAATGGGTTGGGTTTTTGACATGGCCACTGCACTTATACCATATTAATTTGATTTTTTTTAAAAAAATGCTTAGTGATAAATCATTATATGTAAAAAGTTCTTGCTGCAATAGCAGCAACAGCACAAACTACTTTGTTCAGAAGAGCCTTCCCATCCTCCCCTGGCACCTGGTTGAAGGAAGGAAGAGCTGCAGGATGACATATTCCACTAGGTGGCGCATGTTGAAAGTGTCAGGAAAATAGCAATATATCACAACATAGTGTTTGTTTTTAAAGGTTTTTTAGGACAGTGGGGACCCAGAAACAGTTTATATATATGAGATGGCACGCGTAGCCTACAGACCCAGTACAAATAGCAAGAAATGTACTGAGTGAACTGACAGCCATGTGAACGGGCCCAACAGTATATATACCATGTGACTCCATACAAATATATTCATATTAAAAAAGGAGGAGAAAGAAACAATTCAAATGGTCCATGTGATTAAGCCCTGAAGGTCTCCCCTTATAAAGTCTACCGGAGCAGTTCCCAAGAAGCAGTGTCACTGAGAGAAGCACAATAGAAAGACATCCCTTTTGCCTTTTGGTTTCTGCATTCCCAGTCCCAGAAATCTAGGTGAACATTTTATTTCTATTTATAACAAAGTTGCCCCACCTTGTTCAGCTTGCCTTCTTCTGTACTAAACAAACTGGGCACCTTTTTACAGAGATTTTTGTAAGATTAAGTGGCTGTCCAAATTTGGTTCCAGTTCTTATGATTTACTGTACAGTACTGCTAAAGAACAATGAAAAGTAACTAAAACATGAGAAAGAACCGTTAAGATATGCAGTGATATAAGGAATGTCACAACGAAGAAGAAAGGAATTGATTTGTTTGCATGCTGAGCCTGCTACATTCTTCCAGTGTATCAGATATATCCAGCTGGCTTCCTTTAGAAGAAGATGACCTTCCACACATTTTACAAACAAAATACTGTACCTTCTATACATCACAGCCATGAAGACTACTGCTACTGCTGCTGCAGTGTCAGAAATCTTTGTAGCAGACCTTTTTAAAATGATTGCCCATTAGAAATCTAGGATTATAAATGATCACCTTTAGAAAAGGTGGTACCTAATGTGGTAAAAGACATTTGTTTGTCCTAATATCTTACATTTCAGTATGGTAATCTGTA